TTCCTGGCATGTGCACCGGGTGGCTGCTCTTCTGGTTTCCAGCACATGCACTCTCCCATTTCAGCACTCAGTGCCCAAAAGGTTCACCAACCCTGGTATAGGATCTCCTGTTTGAGCAGGGATTTGGACTAGAAGATCTCTGGGGTCCATTCCAACTTTCATTATTCTGTCCCGTGTAAAAACCAATTATATCTCGTAGGAGGGAGCAGCACCTTAAGAGGTAAGATAATTGATCAGAGTTAATCTTCGGAATTCATTTTGCCTCTTTTCTACTCTAAATCTGCTCTCTAATTTAGTGCTGCAATTGAGACTTAGATCATAAACGAGCATCATAATTGCAGGTATTTCAACCATTTGTTTGGCGACTGTTCAAAGTTACAATTGCACTGAAAAAAGTGGCATATAAGAAAGTTTATAAGCCTTTGCATTTATGACTGTCATAGCATCCTAGAGTCATGTGGTCAAAATTTGAGTATTTTAGCAACCAGCATGTATTTACAAGGGTTGAATTGTCCCAGGTCACTATGGGAGGCTTTCCCAACCAACTTCCAACAAGACAAGTCAGTGGGGGGAGCTGGGTTTGCTTAACAGCCATGTGTGTCTCTTAACAACTGCAGTGATTCACTTAGCAATTATAGCAAAAGAAAAAAGAAAAAGGCCATAAAATTGGGCACAATTCCCTTAATAACCACCTTGCTTAGCAATGGAAATTTTGTGGTTATAAGTCGAGGACTTCCTATATGATCAATATCACTTGGATAGTCATCTTGTCAGTGTGCAGCTAAGAATTATGGAAATTGAAGACCACTCTAATTGGGAATATCTGGTTAGGGAAAGCTGAATAACAGCTGGATTAAATGACTTCACTGCCTAATATTTTAATAGCTCTTTCTTAATACATGGGACTGAAATGTGTTTGGGCTCCTACTCTACTCTCTGACCATTGGGGTGATAGATCTGTACTACCCACCCTTTCTGTAGTTTTAATTGGGCCAATTTCTTATTGCGGCTTCGCTGTTTACTTTGTTGGCTTTGTAGTAAGTTTTCACAATGTGATTCTGACAAAAATGTTTTTAACAAATTAATCTCTGTGCATAGCAGTGTTTAGTGCTTTTTGCCAAGGAAAACTTGCATTCTTGGTTTAGGCCTAGACTTGCCTGTAGTTACTGACATGAAACTAATGCTGGTTTAATTTTGGTTTTTATTTATGCATCGTTACTGGGAGGCTCATCAGTCTCTCCCTGTACTATTCTATCACGCAAGGATTCTATCCCTTCATACGCTTTTTTTATACTTGGTGAGAAACATAAAGGACACAGAAGAGTCTGTTGGTAATTGCCTATCTATCCCATTTTTTCATTGTCTTGATGGCCCCTTTTTCTGAGTAATTCTTCTGAATCCCCTTCTCCCAGGCTTCTTGGAAGACTGACCAGAGATCTGAAATGAGTCGCTTCTAAAGACACTCCAGATATTAGTCTGAACTTTTTGAATTCTGCTGCATAGGGCAGTGTTGGTGTGGTGCCGTGGGTTTCGGGTTCAACGTGTGAAGGGTGTGTGTTTGTGTTTATTTTCATGGCCAGGGTCATGATATGCAATGAAGATGGTGTTTGATTTTGTTGTACGAGGTGCAATGACAATAAACTAAACTAAACTAAACCCTTAGGGATCCTACCTATTTTAGAGAAATGGGGAAAATATGGATCTTTCTATATTTAGAATAGAATAGAATAGAATAGAATAGAATAGAATAGAATAGAATA